CAAATTCAAGAGATATTTATGAACATTATTTGAATTATTTCACAAATCACATAGATCTTCAATATAATAATCAAATAAATAGAACACAGTATTTTTGTAGCTAATTCAATAATATTTGTTTGTTTTTTAACTTAAGAATTGTAAAATATTACTTGTGTTTTAGTAGAATATAAATATATGATATTTAAATTATTGACTAAAGATGTTTGTTATATTTTGTGTTATTAATCAGATTAATCTTCTATGTAGTATTTATATTTCAATATATAAAGAGAAATATTTCATTCTTTTTTAATGTTATCATCGCAGTTAAATTTGTAAAATATAATAGTTGATAACTATGCAAAGAAGAATATAAATAAAAGAAACAACTAATAACTATTATCTATAGAAGTCGACACCAGATATATTTCTTTCAAAGTGACAAAGCATTTTGTACACGTCCAAATCAAATTCTAATCTTTTAAATTAGTTTGTTCTATTTGACATTTGTTTTTATACAAGATTTGCTACTGCAAATATATATAAATAGAGACAAAACAGATATATTTCGTTGATGAAACAAAATCATAGAGAAGAATTATGTATAATCTCATATGAGTGAGTAAAACTAACGATACAAAGGAAAGAAAAAAGTACATATATGCACGTCATCATATTATTGCTAACGAAAATACGAAAGTAACTAAGTACGTCTGAATTATTATGTACAAAAAAATATTGACGTCTATAGACATATGTAATCTGTCAAGTACAAAACAATACATTTAGCTAAAATAACGAAACAAAAGAAAAGATGATGTAAATCTGTATTATAGGCGTAGATAATATACATGTACATATATAATGATCATTTACTTTCTGTCTAAATAGAAGATATCTGTTTTATGCCTAAATCATATTTACTTTTATACTTGTACTTTTTATAATCACATTTAGATATATTAGTTAGTAAGTATTTGTTAAATAACATCATAAAAAATCTGATCGATGGATAAAATATGAGTTTCGAAATTTTTCATCACTTTCTGATATTAATTCATGAGAATTTTAGATCTATTTTAAATCATATTTTTACATTGGAACAATGACACCTCGTCTTGATGATAATAAATTAGAAAATGAAGTGAAAGAAAATGAATCAAATATTGAAGATGATAAAGATACATCGAGTAGCATCTCAGTTGAGAGTGATGACATATCAACGGTATCTAATGGAAACCATCGATTTACTTGGTTATTAAGAATTCCGTTAATATTATTAAGAAAATTGAAAAATTCATGGAAAAATACATCAGAACATCGATTGAAATTATTCGAAATTTACAAGTTTGCTGACAAAATTGATATTTTTTTAATGATTATTGGAATGATTGCTGGTTAGTCGAAATTTCTACTAAAAATTCTAATATCTCTCTTCTTTTTTTCAGCATTAGTAACCGGTGGTACTAATACAGCAATGTTTTATTTTGCTCACAAAGTACTTGACAATCTCATTCTTATCGACAGTGATAACATAGCAACGAAGAGCTCACCGCGATCTACAGCTAATTCAGATGGATGGTAAGAATATTGTAGCTTTTCTCGAAATGTTATTTAATTTATTTATTTAGTCAAAACACCTACACAACGAGTGAAGAGGATATAGCATCATCATACAGTACTTTACAATCAATTAATATAAAATTTGTTGTCGTTGGTTGTATAAGTATATTTCTTTATTGGGTAGCATGGGCAAGTTGGATGACTGCAGCTGAAAGACAAATACGACGTATTCGGTAGAGAAAAGAGATGATTTATAATTTGTTTTATATCTGTTAATATATAGTTATAAACTTTTTCGAAATATTCTGTCTCAAGAAATTGGTTGGTTTGATGTTCATAGTACTGGCGAATTGAACAATCGTCTCACTGATGACTTAGGTAAATAACTAATATATTTATTTACTTCTGTTGTTAATGAGTATATTTTTTATTTTATTAGATAAAATTAAAAATGGCATCAAGTATGAAAAACCTTATAAATTATATACAGATTTTAATTTATAGGACGCATTTTTTCTAGTGAAAAAGTACCAGATTTTGTAACACTACTTGCAAAAGCAACTGGTGTAATGGTATATGCTTTGACAGTCGGATGGAAATTGGCACTTGTCTTTTTGTCAGTATCACCTTTAGTTATTCTTATGTATAGAATTACTATTGTAGTAAGTAACTGATTTTATTTCATGTATATGATGTAATTTGTTTCATTTTCTAGGTAATCGTTAAATACAGTGCTAAGGAAATACAAGCATATGGTCTAGCATCATCGATCGCTGAAGAAGCACTAAGAAATATTCGAACAGTAACATCATTTCATGGTCAAAAAAAAGAAGAAGAACAGTTAGAATAATCGTTTAATGTATAATTATCGAATGTTTTTTTTTACATAGATACGGTCAAAATCTTTTCTCAGCAAAGAAAATTGGAATTAGAAAAAGTTTGTACATAGGTTTATGTCAAGGTTTTGGGCAGCTTTTTAGTTTCTCAGCTATTACATTAACATTTTGGTATGGTTTAAAATTAGTAAAATCTGAATGTCAGGATTATACACCTGGAACATTAATCATCGTATGTTTATTAATATAAAAAATATCTTTTTTTAAACTGCTTTCTCAATTTAGATATTCATTACATGTATGGTATGTTGATTTTGTTTCTTTTTTAATTAAAATAAATTAATCTATTACTTAGAATGCAACAACTACAGCAACACAATTTATTCCATTCTTTCAGACATTTGCAGAAGCATCAACTAGCGGAAGTTATGTATTCGAAATGATTGAACGAGTAAATTGAAGATGATATATTTTATATAATAAAAAATGTTGATCTATATCTTAGAAATCAAAAATTAATGTTTTGGATGATGAAGGAAAGAAATTAGAAACAATCAAAGGTGATATTGAATTCGAAAATGTAACATTCAGTTATCCTACACGACAAGAATCATGTGTATGTTTATTTATTCTCATTCTAATGACAAAATTTCTTTTTCTATATTTTAGATTTTGAAAAACTTTTCACTCAAAATACCATCCGGTAAAACAATTGCTTTCATTGGCTCTTCGGGTACTGGTAGTAAGTACTAATTTTTTCTCCAATAAAAGTATTATATATATGTATATAATTAGAAAGTACTATTATTGAATTGATACAACGTTTTTATGATCCAGATCATGGTGAAATATTAATTGATGGACATGATATAAGAACATTGAATATTGGTTGGTTTCGTTCACATATTGGAATTGTTAGTCAGGAACCAGTTTTATTTAATGGATCAATTGAAGAGAATATTCGATTGGGAAAATTAGATGCAACAGATGAAGAAGTTATTGCTGCAGCAAAATTAGCGAATGCACATAATTTCATCATGGATTTTCCTGAGGTTTGTATCAAATGAAGTTCTTTACCTTTCTTTTCATTAAAATAAATTATATTTAGAATTATAAGACATTAGCAGGTGATACATTGAGTGTGGGTGAAAAACAACGAGGTTTGAATTATGAAACTAATAGTAGATAGAAAGTTTTTCTTTCTTTCAGTTGCTATTGCTCGTGCACTCATCTCGAATCCAAAAATCTTGTTATTAGATGAAGCAACCAGTGCATTAGGTATTATATATATATAGATATCTTTATTTAAAGAGATAGTTAACATGTATATGTAAATAGATTATACAAGTGGACGAATTGTACAGGATGCACTCGATAATGCAAAACAAGGTCGAACAACAATTGTTATTGCACATCGTCTAAATACTATTCGAAATGCAGATATAATTATTGGATTGAATGATGGACAAATAGTTGAATATGGTACACATAACGAATTAATGGGAAAAAAAGGAATTTATTATCAGCTAGTAAATGAACAAGGTGGAGATGAACTACGAAAATCATCATCTGAACCAGATAGCAAAGAAGAAACTAGAAGAAAACAATCCTATAGTCAAAAAATAGCTGGTAAGTAATTTCATATAGTTTTTTAACTATAATTATTTATTATTTTAGCTATTCGTAAAAAGATCGAAGAATTAAACGATTGTATTAAAGAGGAAGAAGATGATGACAGTGAAACATCGTCGGCTGATTATCTTATAGAGAAAAAGCAAAAAAAAAAGTTTAATCTATTATTTATGTTTCGAATACTAAAACTTAATTTACCAGAATGGTATTGGATTCTAATTGGTTGTGCAGCGTCTCTTCTTTTTGGTGTCATTCAACCAGGATTTGCATATTTATACTCGGGAATTTATGGTTTATTTGCTGAATCAGACCAAGACAAACAGCAACGATTCATGAACTTGTATACTTTCGGTATTTTCTTTGCTGGTATTCTTAGCGCACTTAGTCAGTTGGTATTAAATTATGCATTTGGAAAATCTGGTGAAGAACTTACGATGCGTATGCGTCGATTAACATTTTCATCATTACTCCGACAAGAGATGAGTTATTATGATAAGAAAGAAAATTCTATTGATGCTCTAACTACACATCTTGCATCAGATGCAGCAGCTATTAAAGTATGTTCAAATAGTATAGCAAGTATATTCGTTGTAGAATTAATCATTAATAAATATTTTAGGGATTAACAGGAATTCATATTGGTATTCTTGTACAAGGATTTGGTGCATTAGCAGCATGTTTTGTTATTGGACTTCTTTCTGGTTGGAAATTAACATTAGTTCTTTCATGTTTCATACCAATTCTGTTCTTCTCAAGTAAGCTACAAGGAAGTAGACACGATAATATAAGAACTGCACGAGATAAAGACTTACATTCTGAACATGGTGAACAAGTAAATAAACTACTATGCTTAAATGTAGACTTCATATTTATATATTCTGTTTAGTGTGCTTCTGAAACTATAGAAAATATTCGAACTGTAGTTGCTCTTCATCAAGAAAATCATTTTATTAATACTTATGAACAATTTTTTAATCGGGAATTTAAGTATGACAAGATTAATTTTCTTGCTAAATCTAAATATTTATTTATTTAGAAAAAATATGTGTCGTCTACATATAACAGCATTCGCTGCAGGTGTTGCTTATTCATTGAAATTCTTTATCAATGCAGCTACTTATTCATATGGTAGTACGCTTATTCGAAATGGTGAAATGTCTTTTCACGAAGTATACAGGTATGAAATTTAGAAAGAAGAAATATCAATTTTGATTCATATATTTTAAGAATTGCTGCAGTTATTCTGACTGCAACTGTAAGAATTGGTAAATCAACAGGAGAAAATTTGAATTTATCGAAAGCAAAATATTCTGCAACACGAATTCTAGACTTAATCAAACGTAAATCACAAATAGATCCGTATGATGATTCAGGCATTATTTTAGTAAATATTCCCTTTGTATATATATTAAAATAATTTGTAATTGTATTATTTGTAGGAAAATATCACAGGTCGAATTGAATTTGAACATGTCCATTTTCGATATCCATCAAGACGAAGTGTTGAAACTCTTAAGAATTTTTCATTAATATGTACAAATAATAGTTCTACAGCTCTTGTTGGATCATCTGGAAGTGGAAAAACAACAGTAATTGATTTATTACAACGATTCTATGATCCATTAGAAGGCCAAATTCTTTTTGATGGTCATGATATTCGTACACTTAACATTCAATGGTTTCGTTCATTGATGGGTCTTGTTCAACAAGAACCAGCTTTATTTAATATTTCAATACGTGATAATATAGCTTATGGTGATAATAGTCGAGAAGTATCTCAAGATGAAATAGAAACAGCTGCTCAAATGGCGAATATTCATGATTTAATTATATCGTTACCTGAAGTTTGTTTTACAATCATTTGTTTTTTTCAATATCGAAAATATTTTATTTTTAATAGGGTTATGATACATTATGCGGAAATAAAGGTAATCAATTATCTGTTGGAGAAAAACAAAGAAGTAAGCTTATGAAAATTATTTCTCGATATTTAATCTTTAATTAAATAAATAATAGTTGCCATAGCTCGTGCTTTAATTCGTTCTCCAAAAATTCTTCTATTTGATGAAGTTACATCAGCATTAGACAACAATAATGAATCAAAAGTTCAAGAAGTATTGGATAATGTAAAAATGAATCGAACGAATTTAACAATTGCTCATCGTTTATCAACAATTCAAAATTCAGATAAAATTATTGTTATTGATAAAGGTCACATCAAAGAAAAGGTAAATAGAATAGAATATTGAAAAATAAAATTATTCTGTAATAATATCAATCTAGGGTACACATGATGAACTTTTGAAATTAAATGGAATCTATTCAAAGATGATTAATTCTCAGACGAAATCAATTTAACATCTTCTTCAAATCAATTACATACAAATATATTAGAAAAATAAACTTTTGTTATTAAATAACATTTTGTTTTTAGCCAATATGGCAATAACTATTAGAATACATACTAAAATCTCTATTTTTTTTGTTGTATAATAGAAAATAATAAACGATATATTTTTAAGTAATTTCAAAGTCTATATATTGAAATTTGAAGGAAAAACACGGTTGTCTCTAAGAAATTTTATATAGAAGTATCATATAACAAGCCTTATAGATATTGATGTTCAGTGGTTTATCCAGCGGGGGGGCACGGGGCTTTTTGCCCCCTCGGAGGGTGCTCCTGCCCCCCCCGGAATTCAGAAAAATTACGCTTTTTGAGTCTGAAACTCTACGTTTGCCCCCTCAGAAGAGAGATTTTTGCCCCCCCGGCAGTTAATTTCGCACCCCCGGACGAAAAAAGCTGGATAAAACACTGTTGATGTTTATATTTGTTTCACTGAGGTCAAGTAGCATATAAATATTCTTAACCATTTAATCAACAGTTAAATAACGAGTGTTGTTTATCGGTGAGTTATATCATTTGATTACAAAAAAAAATTGTTTGATATATCGACAATGAGATGCCTGTGTGTAATTTTATTTCAGGGTAATAATTTGTATCGACAATACTAAAGTTTATTCATATCGAGATAAGAAACTTTTCCGATATAATATTAGATCAATTTTGATGATATTTATATACTGATGATGATTGCCCTATTTTTATTTCTATTGGCCATCATAATCAACTTCTTGATAATTATTTTTCTCGTATTAGTAAACTTCTATTGGAGTTAACTCTGATTTTATTTATATATATATATTAGAAGTTGACATAAAACTATTGTATCATTATTAAAAAATATTGAGTGTTCCTAGACAAGTTCTATTAATATATCGAATGTTAAAAGAGATTTTCGAGAAGAAATAAATTTATTAAGGTGACTAAGTTAAGTCTGATGCCAAATAATGACAATGAATGGAATACAAAATGCAACACTAATAATAGTATGAATAAGAAATAAAAATAATTTAATTTTATTGAGACGTTGATTGCCAATAGCTGCATGTGTACCTGCCTCTGTATCTGGTCGTGCATTATGATTAATAGGTTCTGCATTCATATGGCTAACCCGTGTATTAAGTGCCATTAATGCTGATGCTTTTCGATAATGATATTGAACTATTTCGAAAAGTATAACAACGATAATAACCCATGTTGTCCACAATGAAACAATGATAACAAGATCAATATGTTGTATTGATAAGTAAAATGCAATCAAAAAGAAATTGCAAAATGAAAGGCAAAATGCAACAGAACCAAAGATTCGATGGCTAAAATTGAATATAAAACGAAAACGACTATGAGGATGACAACGATAAAGTGCCAACCATATTTGTATAATTATACAACATATAATGATACTGCCACAGATTACATGAGCTAAGAGAGCTTTATTACTGGTATTTAAATTAGACCATTGACCACGTAAGTGAACTAGAATGAAGTAAAAACCTACTAGAGTTAATAATGAAGATAAAGATAAAAGTAATCGATGTATTTGAAACCAAATTGATTTGCCAAGTAATTGTCGTTGATTTCCTAATTGTAATACACGACCATAACGTGCAAAAAGAACACCTGTAGAACCAAAAACCATCCAAGATAGTATCATCACTGTACCATGAGCATGATCCATATTATAAGGCATTTTGATTTAATAACTGTTACACAAGATAATTATTTGTAGACTATATTCAAGAATACTAAACTTATTCTGATAGTGTTGATTTCAATGTAATTTTAATTATATTTTCATTTGTATACACTGACTTTGACAATGTGTTTTATTAATTAAGTCTAATAGAAATTATCAAAAACATTCTTCTATGATAGACAAAGTAGGCTGCCATATCCGTTGTACGTCATTTGAGATTAAAATAGCCGATGAGCTGACGTATGATCGCTTGTTTTGACATTTTTCATTAAAAAAATGGTCAAAAACATCTTTTTGCCAATGTCTAATAATAACAATGTTATATACACTTTCTAAGTTAAATAATTATTTTAACAATCCAAAGGTCATCTATAATTATAACGATTTAAATACAAGTCTCTTTTAATGTTTGAAATAGTGTAGTAAATAAATGAACAAATCAATCGAGTATTCTACATAAAAACAGTGTGTACCATTCGTTTGTTAAATAGTGTTTAAATACATAATTGTTTTTTACGTCAACCAAAAAAGTCGATGCAGAACTGATTTTCTATTAATAATAAGATAATTCCGTTAACAAATCTACTAAAGTTAGTACTGAACCATGTCGAAAACAAAGAGAAATTTAAACACTCTTGATATATGGACTATAACAATGATTAATGAACAAAATACTATTGGAGTTATTATTTTAATGAATGGAGATATGACTTTAAAAAATTAGTTTTCAACAAAAGTTTACAATACTTTAATAGATATTCAAATAATGCTTTTTGATTGTTCTGAAAATAGAATAAAAAATACTTCAAATACAAACAGAACTATTTCATTGTTTAAAATTTTTCTTATATTTATTTTCCTATTTTTTAATCATTAATATAAAAGAAGACTGTTCTATTTTTATTTGTATTTTGACTAAACAATTTTTTCATTTAATTTAAAACAAAAAAAATCAGTTGCTAATTAAAAGATACTTTTTACTTTTTTTTATTCATTATATGAAATCAAACCAATTGTTTACTATTATCAGTGTTTTATCTAGGTTTTATGTTCCGAGGGGGCCACTGTAGAGTTCGGGGGGGGGGGGGGGGGCAAGCGTAATTTTCAAAAGGAATGCTATATAAAAAGTTTTACGATATATCAAAAAACAAACTTTTATTTATTTAATTCACAGTAAATCCCTCCGCATATTAGAAGCCTTCGGAAACTTCTAATTTGTCTACCGTTTATAATTTCTGGATGTGGCTTCTATTAAGTTTCAAAAAAATTTCATAGACTATGATAAGGTAATCAATTCGAAAGATTTCTAGAAATTTTCAAGGTTTTCAAGATTTTCACGAGTTTTTCAGAAGATTTTTGGCAGTTTTTCCAGATTTATGCACACTTAGATAGGAGTTCGTCGAAATGTCATCTTAAAATCGAGAAATTTTAGCAGGAAAATTCGACAAAATCTCAAAAATTGTTAATTTGTTTTGGAAAAATTAGAAGGGCTTTTAATACGTCAAACATGTTGCTCGTCTCAGAGGGAACTTCTATTATAGGGAGGGGTTTACAAGTAAACCTCTGTTTTGCTATCAATATATTTTGAAAATACGAAAACAAAAAATAAAAGACTTTGAGAAAAAATCTATACTGAACCGAAGTTCTTCGCACTTTTTTTCATTGTTGGTTGATTTCTTCATTTTCTTCCATTTTAAAATAGGAAGTCAAAGATTTTTGTCCTGATGACATTAATTGAACAATGTATATTTATAAGTGAAGTCGAATAATGTGTCTGATATGAAATATACGACGTAAAAGAACAATTAGCCTAACATGAGCGAATTTTTTTCATCTTTTTGTTCTTTTGCATGAATATCATGAAAAATAATAGATGATAGACTATTTAGTACATCGTCAAACAGTTATATAATATTCATATTCGGCTGTTCTCTTCTTTTCTCATTGAGAAAACATAAACTATACATCACTGATTGATGAAAGAGTAGAGTGAAAGTATTATGCTACAAAAAAATAAAGAAAATGTTAATTTTTTTTAATATAATAATTTCATATTTCCGGGGGGGGGCGGCGCCCACACGGCCCCCACGCTGGATAAAACACTGACTATTATTATAGTATGAATAATCAGTCATTATAAAACATGACGTATTTTGAATAGACATGCACCGAACTCAGGTCATTTAGATTTGAGGCATGGCTTATCTTAAAAGTAAATATTCCAAAGCATCTATTTATTTCTTTGTAGTTTCAAAAGTTCATTTTGTTGAGACAACTTTCACTGAATTGTTATCAGTATTCGTTCTTGTATCTTATCACACATTAAGAGAAATGTGCGTTTTTATAAGACTATTTTTGTTATTGTTATTATCAAAAACAAAAGACAAAACTCTTACTCTTTGGTTGTTATATATTAATTCAAAAAAACAAGTGTGTATTTATTATTTCCATATTTTTTAACCATTAGACGAGTTTGTATAATCTAGATGAATTACAAAATATTTTTAAATTTCTATATAGTCTATAAATCCTATATATAAAGAATTTGTATGAACTTGCTATAGAAATTACATTAAACTCATATTGAATATACAAAGGATCTGTAAAAATCTGTATTATGTGTAATTATATTTATTGTTTGCTATTTTCTTATTGAATAAAAAAAAGATTTAAGTTTTGTATTCGTGTTACTACACATAATTTTATTAGTTTTCAAACAAATCTATTTGATATTATTGCAAGAAATGAATAAAAACTATTTTCTAGATAACAAAAAATGGAATCTCCTGGAGTTCCAATCAGACTTGGATCCATCATTATGCTTATTAAATATGGAATGGAAAGAGTTGAAATGGTGACATCAAATAAGAAAGCTTGTGCATCATTAGTCGATGATTTAACTATTATTCATGATATATTGAGTAGTACTAATGAAGAAGAAAAACAAAAAGCAGAAAATCATAGATTGCAGCTGGTTATGAACAGACTTTACCGAATTACAACTCGTGCTAACGTATTATTTGATAGGTATGTATTTATGAAATAGTAAATTTCCGATCATTATTAACCTATACACAGATCCTATACTCAATACATAAACTATAAACATAATCGAAAAATCTTTTATCTTTACTTACTTATTTTTTATCGTTATCACATTAATGAATAACTTCTGATTAATAGATGTGCAAGTGGTAAAACGACAATAAAAATTCGGAATTTTCTACAAGCAACATCAATAAAAGGAGAACTGCATAGGTTGCAATCAGAAATACCAAAAGCGCTTGGTATGTTGTGTTTAGTATTTCATGTTAAACAAATGGTATGTATTATTCTTCTTAGTCAAACAATTTTTGCTGTTTCATTGAAAATGCTTTTTGGTTTTAGTCGGCATACAGCAGAGGTGGTGGTGTAGCATTACCTCTAGTAGATGAAACTGTATTTAATGACGAAGAAGAGCAAGACTTAGAGCCAGCGGAAGAATATTATGTAGATGATGATGGTTGAATTTGTTCATAACAAGAACTTTCTTTGCTATTACCTTAAACGTATGAACTATTCTTTTATTCACTATAGACAATGATATGTATGTTATTTTTGTAAAAATACAGTAATTATGATTTTATTGTTTGTGAGTATTATAAAAATGAATCAACAATGATAATATTTATTGAAAGATTGTGATTAAAAAATATTTCATTATTACAGTCATACAGGCAAAGTTTGACGACACACAAAGTTTTAGTTTTTTAAAGATGTATTAACATAAAAATATCTCTCTTTCTTGTTATATTTTCAGATAAAAACTTCATGACTACTTCTCTACCGATCTTATCATCTCAACGAAAACGGGCATTAGTTATTGGCAATAATAATTACAGTCGACCGGAAAGTAAACTTCGTCATTGTACTAATGATGCTAATGATTTCAGTGATTTACTCAAAAGTATTAACTTCAATGTTACATTAGAATTTGATTTAGCTAATGTACCAATGGTTACAACGATTCGTGATTTTTCAAGGAGTATCGTTGACGGTGATTTAGTATTATTTTATTTCTCTGGACATGGTTATCAAGTTAAAGACAAAAATTTTTTGATGCCGATAGATGATCAAGAGATAGAAACAGAAGAGGATGTCGAAGATTTTGCGGTTTGTGTTGAAACAACAATGAATAATATATCAAAGAAAAGTCCTTCATCAGTTACATTGTTCATCTTAGATTGTTGTCGAACATATTGGCCAAAAAAAATAGCTAAAACAAGAGGTTAAAATCATAGGATTTCTATTTAAATGAAAAATTTATAAATTGTCCATTTTTTAGGTGGTGCTGATGGCAAAGGTTTACATTCGATGGAACCACCAGTAGGTACATTTATTCAGTTTGCTTGTGGTCCAAATCGAACAGCATGCGATGGTGCGGAAAATGAACGAAATGGTTTATTTACTAAACATTTACTGCGTCATATTACATATCCAAATACAGATATTACTCAAATTTTTCGAAGCGTTGCATATGATGTTTACAAAGAAAGTGATGGAACACAAAGACCATTAAGCGTTGATGGAATTTTACATCATGGACATGTTTGTTTGAATGAATCAGGTAAAATTTGATAGAAGATAAAAATTATTACAGAAATTAGTCCTAACAAGAAAGTACTAGTAAATACGTTTAGCATTATCCGCATGGGTGTGAGTCTGAGTATCTCTACCCTTAACTCACACCCACACCATCAAGATGATGCATGCTCGGATATTTTTCTAACGTTAAAAATAATTATACGATATATAATTATTTAGTCGATTTTAAAAAATTATTCTGAAACTATTGTAACACTCCAACCAACAGTATCTATATCGATCTTTTATTTTAATTAATTAAAATTAATACAAAAAAGAATAATATGAATTAATTATATATTTATTTTTAATTTTTAGTTGTTGACCCTCAACCAAAGCTGCCAGTCGAAGATCCCAAAAATCAAAGTACTGAAGATGATTTAAATAATGAAATTAGAGTGCGGCATCGGTTCCAAAAAGATTTTTCAAAATCGTTCAAAGAAATATATATAAGTACCTGGTTTTTAATGCTAATACATTAGGTAACTGCACATATTTCTTTGAACGATTTCGGAAAATATTTCTGGAACCGATGCTGGACTCTAGCAATTACTAGCCGTCAACATATGTGATATTAGTATGTTGGTTGCTTGATCATTTATTTATTATTTTAGAAAATATTTCCTTGTACCATGCATGTCGGGAGAACAATATTCAATTGGTTCAATCATATTTGAGAAGAATGTCATTAGAAGAAATTAATCAAGTAGAACAAAATGGATCAACTGCTCTGCACGTCGCGGCATTTCGTGGGCATGAAAAGATTGTTGAATTATTATTAGAAAAAGGTGCATATTATACAATATTAAATAAATATAAGAACACAGCATATAATGAAGCTGCCAATGGTAGAATAAAACGATTGATTCAGTATTATAGATATGCAGCTCGTTTTATTGGTGACGCTAATGAATGGATTATTACCACAAATGTTAGCAAATTTCAAGTAAAGACATCTATGCAAAAGCTAGAAGCCTATGGTAAAGATCCAAATTTTGATCAATTGGTTACTTATATAATAGAACATTATCTTGAAAAGGATTTGCAAGATATTAATAATATTATCAATATAAAACAATATTTCGAACAGGCAATACATGAAAAAGATCCTGTTCATCTATTAAAAGCATATACAGCTAATAGTGATTTTTATTTAAAACTTAATTTTCATCTAGCTCAATTAAATTATGAAAGTTTAACTGATCAAAAAAATCTTAGTTATGCATATTATATTGGATTAGTTAGTTTTCATCCAAAATTAGAAACATTGTCATATATTGGAACTACATATCGTGGTATGATAATCAATAATGATAACCTTCAACAATATAAAATAGGTAAACAGATTTTAATCAAGACATTCTTATCAACATCAAAACATATACGTATTGCTTCACAATTTTGTAAAACAAATCAAAAATCAAGTGATCAATTGAATGTCATATGTATATATGAAATATGTAATTGTAAAAGTGCATTAAATATTGAAGATATATCAGAATTTCCAGATGATCAAGAAGTATTAATTCTGCCATATACAAGATTTGAAATAATTGATATCCAATACACGAGATCGGATACATCGAGAATCGAAATGAAACTAAAACAATGTGAATAACTATAGAACTTACAAATGAATAGAACGAAGTTTTGATTTTTTTTCTTATTATATCCATGAATATTTGTTTTTTTCTTGCTGTGATAATAAAGTATTGATTCTGATGAGATTATTTTCAATATTAAATTTGTCAAACTAATGTTCAACAATGTTCGACTTAGATTGAGTCAGAAGAATATTATTCAACATTGATTTCAGTGAGAAAACAGTTTGTTAATTTGAAGTTTTCCACATTATAAAAAATAACTCAAGATAAGATAAGGATGTTGTGTCTCTTGTAATAAATACATTCAGAGTCCCTCTATTGTTACGTATACATATATCTCTAGGACAAAGACATGTACAATAACACGTTTACAGTGAAACTCACTTTGTTCATGACTTTCATGTTATATTCAATACAAACTAAGAAGTACTAACCGAAAAATATTTTATTAGAAGCTTGAATAGAATAAGTAATATTTGCATAATATTCTAAGTATTTTTCGACAAAAAATATGATGTCATCGAACTTTTCCATGAATTAAACTATGTCTAGTTGAGTGCACGTTACTATTTTTCACTGATTAAACTGATAGATTGTGAAATGTACTCCAAATAAATGATGTGTATATAGTTTAAAGTATTCACATCTCCATATTTCTGTGAAAAATATAAATTTTATAATGTTTGACTGTATATATTGAATAATAACATATGTTTATACAGATAATCAACTTTATGGACATCAGTGAACTTTTGTTCGTATTCCTTAACTCGTGTTTATTCTATGTTGTTTTATTATTTTCGTTTGTTGTTACTATTTAATCTTATTTTTCTTTTCTTTTCTGTTCTTCTTTTAACATATAAACATATGTAGCCATGTGAAAAGTAGGACTAAAATACATGAACTGAAGTTCATCACATACGAACTAATACATTTTCTTTACATCTACGAGTATTATTCGATACAAGTACATAACTTCAAAATAGTCGACTTCTCTAGATCAATGATTATATTTATTTTGAATTGGTTTTTCATTTTATTTTTGTTATGTATTTTTCAAGTTAATCTGGTTACGACAACTCATCTTCCTAATTATCGATTCACCAGAACAAACAATAATGATTTATACACATGTCTTTCATCATTATTACCATTGACAGTACGTACTATTTATCCATGTAGTACTATAGCAAATCAAAACAATTTTCAATGTAAATGTGTTCATTTCAATATTACTAATTTATCTGCTATTCGTGGTGGTCGATTTTCTCATTCACCAGCTGTGATTGTGTATGTAACCGATAGTAGTGATGTACAAAATGTGCTGGCATGTGCAGCAAACTTAAACTATGTTGTGAATGCATTAAGTGGAGGTCATAGTTATGAAGGTTATGGATTAGGTTCAACATACAATAATATTATAATTAATATGGAAGGAATTAATTATATAAAGATTAATCAACATGATAGAACAGGAACATTTGGAGCTGGTACAAGACTTGGTCCAATCTATTATGAAGCATATCAATCAGATAACTATACAATTAACGCTGGAAGTTGTCCATGGGTAGGACTTGCTGGTCATGCACTTGGTGGTGGATATGGACTGCTTTCTCGGTTGCATGGATTACTATCTGATAATGTTTTGGAAATGAAAGCAGTTAATGCTCAAGGTAAATATATCTTAATAATGATGATATTTATTTCTAAGAAATAATGCCATTTCTGGATTGTAAGAATTCTTTCGAAAAAGATTAGAATATTTGTATCGGACACATGAAGAAACTTTTTTCAATGGAAAATTTTCTTTTCAAAAGACATGTTATATATTATTCCATGTAGTTTATCTTAAAAGTATGATTATAGATGTGAGGATATAGGATAAATATAAATGTTGAACCCATATTTGTTCACTCATAAATGAATATTTGTTTTAGGTGAGTTATTGACGATCAATGAAACACATGAACCAGATTTATATTGGGCATTACGTGGTGGTGGTGGAGGTTCATTTGTTATTGTCACAGAATTTAAAATTCGATTAGTCAAAGCTCCATTACTCACTACACAATATTCACTTGTCTGGTATCCAAATGCATCTAAACTAGTAATCCAACGATATCAATTATTGATGTTTAATAATACAATATTTAATTTGAGTAATGATCTATTTGTATCCATGACTGTGAATCATCTTGAAATAACAATTTCAATTACTTATTTTGGTATCGAATTAGATGTGCTGAAAAGAACTGTAGCATTATTGTTAGAAACATTACCAACTCCAAATATAACTAAGATACATTCAGAAGATTGGTTAACTTTTGTTTATGACGGATTAGGACTTGGTAATAGTAATGTTGATCATCGATATTTATTATTTAAAAACTTAACAATGCCAACATATTGTTTCAAAGCTAAACATTTATTTTATGACAAACCAATAAGTGATCATGGTCTTGATCAATTTCTTAATCGAATAGCATTAGGTATTGGTGAGCTTTATATAACATTCAGTCCTTGGGATGGACATATACATACAATTCCAATTGATAAAACAGCATTTCCACATCGACGATATAAATTTGGTATTCAGTTGATGATTTATTGCAATGATACAAACTCAGAAAAGAAACAAATGAAATGGTTAAATGAAATCTATTCGACTATTTATCATGATTCAACAAAACATTCATATATCAATTATATTGATAGAGATGTCCCAAGTTGGATGGATTATTATTATAATACACATCAACAAAGATTGCATAATCTTAAATATCTTTATGATAAAAATAATCGATTTTACTTTGAAAAAACAATCAAGTAGAGTGAAATGAATTAGTTAATATTCTTTTTTCTGTTGTTTTTTTTGTATAGTAATTGTATAAATAAATTTCTTAGACATATCTGCGATGAGTTTTGCAGAAGTGAGTATTAATGTAATAATTTGTTGGAATTAGGATAAATAAGCAGATGCTCTAAAGGATAGTAACCTCATGTAGAAGAATCGAGAAAGACTCCAGTTTTCTCATACATAGAATGTGTTCATTAACATTCATCTTGAAAGTATAAATACTAAAGACAACTATTGATAATTTTAATAACTTTGGATTCATATGAAAATTCTGATATAACCAGAGAAGTTTGTATTTAGTACAACTATTGAATTCTTCTATGATTACAATAAATCATCGACATGATGAGATGCACTGTAATATTAAAACAAACTCCAATGTAATCAAATGTTTTGTCAACAATTTTTATGATACTAATTTGAACTTCTGTCTGCAATTCAAGATGTTTTAAACGAAGAAAATCAATGAGAAATGTATCTGTTTCATTCTGTGATATAAGAAAATCGACAAATTGAAAAGATAGAATTTATTTGTACGAGACTATGAACCTCAAATATTATTTATTCATGATGAATTAAACTTATATTCTGTAAGATTTAGAATAGAACAAAATAATCGATTATAATTTATACTGAGATGTAACGAGTTTCAATGAATTCTCAATTAGATTCTGTTGATTGTCTTTGCCTAATGGCAACAATAAGAAATCAATGGTACTTCATAAAAAAAACATATTCGATGTCTATTATAGGTTCTATGATGTTTCTCACAAAATGTATAAATATAATTTTCAACCGATGTTAAATGAAATATGAGAGAAGAATATTTCATACTGTTCATGAGTAGTAATAACGGCAGTATAAATCATTCTTAATTATTGATCTGCAATTCTAATCATACATTTATTATTTTTTACTATTATACGAAATGAGTTTCAGGTTAAAATAATGTATTTTTTTTTATTTGCAAAAAAAACTGTGATCATTTGATCCTAACAGTACACGAGAATGTGAAAGAAAAAGAAAAAAAGGCAAAAGGTATATACTATAGAGTATGATAGAAGACTACATGAAAAACAACACAAAGTTATAATAGATCAAAACCTGTATAAAGAAACGGACAAAACATAAATTTTAGTGAAGAGAAAAGCAAAACACAATGACAAAAAAAGACGAAAAAAAATGTATTTGTATTTTATAGTTGTTTTTATTATATCAAAGATTAGAAATAAAAGAAAAAGGCAATCAAATGTTTATATTATATACTTTAATGTCTACAAAGATTCTTTATTTTGAAGCAGTTGGAAAATATACTTTGTAATATTGATTTGTTTTTGCAAAGCAAGTAGAATTATTAGTTTTGTTGGCGTTTTGATTAGAAGGACAATTTCCTCCATTGTTACTAAATGAAGCAGCAGGACATCCAAATATAGTTTGCGAGAAAACTGGATCTAGTTTTGCAATAATCCATGTGGTAACATTAAAACTGTCTTCAAGAGCTTGTCCATAGTAAGCCGGTGTAAATTGAAGAATTGTATTGTAAAAATCACAGGCAATAGTTTGAGGAGTTAAGTTTGAAGTTCCGATCTGTGCAAAATTAAGAAAAACTGGATTGGCTGCATACACCAAAGGTACGATTGCGAGAAATGCAGCAAAATCAAATTCAATTCCTCTTCTATACCATGGTTTACCTGCTGAATTATTAATCTCAGGCCATCGCTCTGGAACATACTCAAAATCATAATCATTATTAGTTGTTACCAATTTTGCTCCAACAATATTTGATATACTAGTATAATCTGGCGTTCCACCAAATTCATATGTTCCGTTCGAGAAAAGGTAAGAGTAAAAGATATGAGCTCCCACGCTGACTAGGAGTGAAGGAATTGAATAAAAAAGATAGGGATTATTTGTTTTACTATAATCTGCATTTTGTGAGTACTGTTGAGTCATCGCATCAAGATTAAAAAGTCCGCATTGTTGTTCGGCACATTTCACATTTTGCTTGAATATGCGAGACGATAGATGATGATTATCACACTTGCCCGTGTAGTAGTCTTCTCGATTTGGAGAAATATCACATTCGACAGTGTTGTGTCTATCTAATCCTCCGACATTACCAATTCCTACACGTAGATCAGGACCACCAATAGAAAATGTTTCGGTAAGAATGTTTCCACTGGTAAAAATTGTAGTAGCAGCGAGAACAAGTGCAAGATCTGTACCCATATTAAATCCACGACTAGTAGCTTCAAGTACTTGTGCAAGGGTTACAATACCGTTTCGTGGTAAATAACCATAGTTGGCAAGAAGATTTAAACCAGGACAAACACCTACAGTAAAATATTTTCAAAATATTAAACTCATTTCTTTCATTTTTACCTCGTTGATCAGGAGGATTAGCAGTAATATTCGGCTCTTGGTAATAAAATCCTGGTTCTGGTCGAATTTGTTCACCGTGTGTAAGTAAAGGCTCTGCAACGCTGGAGAAAATTGGACCAAGAATATCGTTAGCAGTATCAATCCCAGAATTAGCCTGATTGCCAAGTTTAGCAAAAGGACAGCCAGTAGATGAAGTACCTTCAATGAGAAAAAAAGTAATACATAATGATATTATTTCGTTTTTTTTTATTTTCAAAATAAAGAAAACAGATAAGGAATTTGTAAAAAAAATCATTTGTTTGCGTCGAAATACATCAGCGGGACACTTTTAAAAGTCTTAAAAAGAAATCATTGTATTTCGGTGATTAAAATACTAATTATGATATTCGTCATATTATAAAAATATGCAAATTCTACTAACCTGAATTTAAGTTATCTCTCTTTGATAGTATTCTAAATGCACTTGTGTGTTGAATATACAGGATAAGATAAATAGCAGTTATTGCTCGTCTTATGTGTTGATCAAATAATACCATTATAAAATTTAATATTTACCGTGTGAGAAAGTATGAGATTCGTTTATTTTCTACTTGCTTATATAGTTGATTATAGCTTCATAATAATACATAATACACTTGATGAATCTTGGTGCGTCATATCGAATGATTACGTATCTATTTATTCATCCAGGTTAACCAATACATCTTTTTACTTATTTATATAAAAAAATGAGTGATTTCAATACTCTTCCGATGTTTTTAATATTTTTCAGAGGACTTGATATTAGTTGTCTAGAGGTGCAGTGTTTATTTTTAATGCAGCATGCAGTCTTTTATTTTTATTCATATTTATGAATTCATTCTAATTTAATAGCTTTTATAATATAGGAAATAATAAGACCATATTTTTGAGTACAAAACATCTACTCATCAATATTATATTAAACAAATATAATTATATTCGCGAATAAAACGTGAAGGAGCTATATCCTATTGGTCATATGTAATGCGCATGGCGAATATAAAAAGAAACATGGTAAGTTATGCATCATCTGTTTTCTATAGAAATATGACAATTATATTTTCTTGTGATTTATGCTTTGAATAATTTCTAGGAAGTCATTGACTGCATCTTCGAATGAAATATTTTATACCAATATACCATTTATGGTCATAGCATCTAAATTTAAAATACAATAAAACCTCTCGATATTAAAATTCCCTGTTTTATGAACGATCTCAGATCCGACCGAGTGATTTTTGTTGGAAATGCATCTCTTCAATATGAATATCTCTTTATCCTGAACAGTGAACGCTTTTTTTCGGTCCCGCCTAGTATTGTCACCTCTCCAATGTGAACATATATACGATGTTCTTTTGACCTCTTTCTACTTTTTGTCATATATTTTGATGAACTACGTAATTCGAATTCGACTATAAATGGACATCCAACTGCACACTAATAATTCGAAAATAAATGGTAAAATTTAAGAATAGATTCAATTTTAGTTTTACTCTAAGATGTATATGGTTCATATATATGATCAAGAGATGAGTGAAAGAAGGTATCAAAGTGGATGTGGGAGTTTTATCTGAAAATTATTCTAAAATTAAATCTATTCCTAGAAATAGGTACTAGTTTTTCGTTTTTTAATGTCCGTTCATATTCGAACTCGAATTAGGCAGCTACTCAAACTAATTAACCTATATATTGATTCGAAAGCAATAAGACAAACAACATTAGAAGGTTTTTTTTAGAAAAAAATAAGTTTTGTTTTTGTATTATAGTTTGAAGAAAAACTTTTATTAAAATCGTTTAACTAATAATAAATGAACAGTAGAATAGATACTCGGGTGTTTTTGTACTATAAAAGCATAAGCACTTATTCTAAGATTTGTTGTATTTCAGGCTATACTATATATTAGCTCTCTATAGTGAACACTTTTTTCCGGTCCCGATGGTGTTCAAATTTAGGAGGTTTTATTGTAATAATATTTCTGATCTTGTCAATGTTAATAAACACTCAATTAAAATTTATACAACTATAATATTCAAAAGTACACACAATCTTCGTATTTATTATTATTATTGTTTCTTTTATTCTGCTTTTATTTATCTAGAGAATGAAATTTAATATTAGTCCTATTCTACTGATTATTGTTGAACAAAAAATATAATTAATTTACCAAACCTGATTGAGGGTTTAAATAAATTAGTTTCTATAGTTCAAGTAACTTATGAAATTCTTTTTCTTTTGTAGAGTGTAACATAAAGGAGTCTGATGAATTACATTTAGAGATTTGTCTAAAAGATCTTAAATTTTATGATTCTATTTCAGCTAAAGTTCCTAACCTAATTGTATTGTATCATGAAATAAACATCGGTTAATATAGATGAAAGTTCGATGAATGTCTGCTAATTTATTCGAAGATATGAATGGGGATGAAATAACATCGTACGAAGAAGTTCGAATACATACTCATTATTTAAAAGAAAAGTATGGTTGTGATGTAAATAAAATATGCAAATTTTTGTGTTTCGGATGAGAAGAAACTGGATAAAATGCGTCCTAATAGATTGGGCTAAACTTTTGAATATTTAAACGGATCAAAAAATGATGCTATTTATCGTTTTTAATGTGTGATAAAAAGAAGGAATACTTGTTAGAGAAAATCTTTATGATTTTGTGCGTATATCTGATGTCTTTATCGTGGAGGTGAACAAATTATTTGATAAAAATAAAAAAGATTACATTACAATTTTCTTGTTTTTATTCGATTTTAGTACTGATGTTCGTTCTATCTCAAGTAATCAAATATTTTCTCAATATATATTTGATTATTGATAATTAATAGATTAAGATTCACTTAATAAAACATCAATAATTTCAAAAAATATATAAAATCGCAAAGGATTATGATAATAGACTGTAAATGAACTAAGCTCTGTATACTGATGTTTTTACATCCTTTTTTTAAATATATTTATCATCTTTCAGTGTATATTGATTGACTTTAATTATTTGAAGTGATAATAAATGATAAAATAGCTATGATAGATGAACTATATTCACAAATAACATGATATATTGCTCGAAAAGTTCGATCTACCTTTTTAAATCAATATTATTAGAATTAAATATAATTGACAGCCGATCTATCTCCTTTTCATATATTTTATCATTCTTTATGTCATTTAAATAAATAGAGGTATCAGATTGATTATCTACTTTGATAAGACCTAGATGAGTGTTCTCAATTGTACCGAGAGTTATAATTGTCATATCAACGCAATTAATGAATACTCAATAAATAACTACAAGTACTTTTATGATCGGTAATATCTAAAGATATATTTATAACAAATACAACAGTATCTTCACTCTTTTTCTACTGTGACCTTACAGAAAATGATGAGACAGTATATCAACAATCTTGAAAATGATATACTATTCTGAAGAAAATTGTACGAATAAAGAATTTGAAAAATCAAATTTGTCCAAGACCTCCATCAACAAAAAGTTCAATACCAGTTATATAACTACTATCATCAGAAGCGAGAAAAACGACTGCTTTAGCTATTTCATCAGGTGTACCAAGACGACTAATTGGAGCAGTAGCCATAAGATTTGCAAGAAGTTCACCTGCTTCACCTTGTGCTATGGCTCCTAATGCTGGAGTATCCGTTAATCCTGGACTGATTGCATTAACACGAATATGACGATCTTTTAAATCGACTGTCCAACAACGAGCAAATGATCGTACAGCTGCTTTTGATGCACTATAAACGCTTTCACCTGGATATCCTTTAATAGAACCTACAGATGCATTTAAAATAATCGATCCACCATCGACAAATATTGGTAGCGCCTTTTGAACAGTAAATAATACTGCTTTTACATTGATATTAAATGATCTATCAAAATGTTCTTCAGTTACATCTTGAAGAAATGCCAAATCACCAATACCAGCATTGACAAAGAGAATATCTAAACGACCTTTTTCTTTCTTGATAATATCGTATAATTTATCAAGATCAGTCATTTTTGTTACATCACCTTGTACTCCAGTAATATTTTTATTTCCAAGTTTTTTAATTGCTTCATCGAGAGTTTGTTGACGTCGACCAGTAATAAAGACATGCTCGATACCTTCAATAACAAATCGTTGAGCAGTTGAGAAACCAATACCTTCTGATCCACCTGTAATAAGAGCGATTTTCCCATCGAGTTTGCCCATGTTCTTTTAAGTTTGAATTATTAAAAATTACGTCTGTCTGAATAAAAAGAGTAATAGCTGTCATGTATTTATACATGTAGAAAAAAGCATCGTCATGCTGTTTTTTTCTTCTGTACCTTACGAGTACATCTAGAGTCAGTGTGATGACATATACTGTTTTTTGTAGTTCTGCTTCTCTCTGCACTGAGAGGACAACTGTAAATGTACTCGATTAAATAATGTACTAAAAATTCGAAATACAATTTTTATAAAATAAAAATAATATTTAGTAAACATAATGTACCATTGGAAGCATATAAGATCAATTTTTTCTTTTTATCCAAAAATATCATAACAATTTTCAATAATGAAATGAACTAAAAGTTTATTGATACAAATGAATTGAATATAAACGTCGTATTGCTTCTGATTACTATATATTCTTCAACGACGATTTTAAATTCATAGTAAAACATAGAAATTATCCTCATACTTTTTTATCTTGATATTACTTGAATATTTTTACAACTAATCGATTCATACAAATATTTTATTTGAAATTAATTTCATCAGTAAAAATCTAAACAAAAATAATCATATTCTATTTTCGATAGATTTGTTGTTTATATACCGTCAACATACGAACAATTATTGAAAATTTTTATCAACCTAAACTAATTCGTTTAGAGTATTTTATTCAATGAATATAATAAGATATCAAAGTTTGAAATGATTTTTATCTTGAGCCTAACCATATGTGCATTTATTATGCTCAAAAAATATAAAAATATGTGATCAATCATACTATTATCGATTTACCTTTAATAATGTACGTGTATAAAAAGAGATAAAAATCAAGATATATGATTGGATCATATGGGTATGTACGTGAAGGTCAATAAAAGGTTGATTTTCGTCTATATCGATACTCTCAAGACTCAGCTTATGAATTGAATAATAATTGATAAGATAGAATGCTAGTATTGAAATGTGAGAAAGTTATTTATGTTAGAATCATTTACCTTAATAATTGTTAATTGATAGAAAACTTCACATACTTTTCATGATTCAAATTTCAAGAATAAAAATGAACGTGACAATAATATCATATATAAGCAAGCACTTGCTGCTCAAAAATCTTTACGGTTTTAACCGAGAAATTCATATAGACAAAATCAATCTAGAAACAATATATTTAATAAATGAAGCTTTTTTTATTCATAGGCAACGAGTAGAAAGATATAAGATCAAATATTGGCTACTTCTCTCTTCAATTTTTACAAGTTAAAATGTTTTTTTTCTTCTATATCCTTGGATATTCTTTATTGTTTTTAATAAATAGATGTAACCAAAAAAAAAAGATCGAATACAACAAAGAATGAATATAGTTTGAATTAGTCTATTTTTTTTTCTCTTCACTCCAAACACCAACCGACTTGATTTCTGTGTTGGTAACAGTGAAAAGCCAATCGTTGACAGGAGTTTTTACACCTTCAAAAGGTGCTTTGATTTCCATTTTCGATCCATTTGCTCGTACAACCTCGACTTGTTCGATAACCTCAATAATGTTGTGTGTTGGTCGTGTTTGAATCTTTTGAAGAACATATTTTCGTTTGCCTTTTTCAACATCGAGTTCAGCATGCGTTTGTTTGATATCTCCTTGTCTGGTTGGAACTCCAACATACGTGAAATTGACTTTTATATCACCATCCGAATCATTTTGAACAGCACAAGCGTATACTTTACGATTATAATTTCTATCGCTAGCCATATTTGTGTTTATATGCCCTTGGTGGTTACTTCGAATGATAGTCTTCACTGATGCGTGACAGTATAAAAATCAAATGACCGGATTAAGATTTTACAATAATTATACAGCGTAGGTGGCCAATCACAAAATCATTTTCAGTATAGTTTGCTAACAGTGATATTTATATGTGTAAATTCGAGCTGAAAATGATAGAACAACGAACCAAGTAGTTGCATGCTTCCTACTGATATATGTAAAACAGATGTCGCAAGTTCTCAAATATAGTAACGTTATTTATCCTATACATAGACGTCCTTCATAATCATTAATTGACACATTATAAAGAGAATTAAGACAAATTTTGAAAGATTTCTCTAGATAAGTAGAATTTGACGTTAATTGATAAGAAAATATTGTAATATTTTGTTGTATAATCTTTCAGAATTCATTTTCTGAGAAACTTGTGACAGCCACTACTTAAATGTAACCTTAGTATCAAAAATCTGTATACATATACATCATCGTTAAACAAACTGAAATACAAATATGATATAGAAATGAACGTATTTATCAAAACGTTTTTGCTTATAACAGTAAAATAAATTCTACTACTAAAATTTGAAAAAAAATAGGTTTGTTTTCCTGATAAAACAATCAATTATTACTGATTTGATCAATGTTTTCTTCATATTTCTAATCCTATTCGCTTGATATTATCTATTGTTGTTACACATATTTAAACTTTCATATTTATTGAAGCTAGAACTTTATTTCATTATTTATATCAAATTCTTCAAGGTAAAAAATAATCTAGATCGATATAAATTATATCATACTGAAACTGTTTCAATATACCTGATCTAATCGTTATTATAGTTATACTCTCGATAACAAATATTAATTTTTTTCTATTATTTAGCATGACGCATCTAACAGTATATTATGTATATTAAGCACTACAGACCTGACATGTTTCCTAATCGAGGTTGTAGAATCTGTTTAAATATCTATCATTATAATTAGAATCGATTATTTCGACTCATTCTGACAATGGGTACCAATGTTAATATTGTTTTCAGCAAAAACTTACACTCTCCAAACTCGTAGTTAAAAAATGTTTGTCAATACATACTTTATAGTGCAAACATGTTCACCTGATACTAAAATGAAAGCTAATAATCAAATAGATGTCATAAAGGAAAGTGCATTATTGAAGTTAGAAATTGACGTCAATTAAATTAATAAATAAATATTATACTTTCGGAATTGTTTGTCCTGAAAAACTGTTTATTTGTATTATATCAATATAGATACGTCATATACGCCCTTGTTAATCTGTTTTTTAAGACAAATTTACAACAGAAGAAAATTTAAACTTAAATTACGCTATATACCAGAAACAACTATACATATCATTCGAATTTTACTTATTATTTTTTTTAAATCATAGGAAAGAAACTATAAGTTCTAAATCTATAATGTAATTGAAAGATTTCAATAAAAAATAATTGACATATCGTATAATAAAATATGTTTAACAGTTATAACAATGATAGATCAAAGAAAAAGCTTGAGATGAATAGATCTAATAATACGTTTTATAAATGAATAATAATCATTTAATGATAAGACAATATATATTAACGGATATTTTCAACATTATAGAGTGAATAAGTGTTTATTTATCAGTTCTTTTTTGCACTTAATATAAAATGACAATAGAAAAAGTTTCTAAAGAGCACTGTTTAACTGTTCCTATTGAACTTTTTATTTGCGTATTTCTTTATATATATATATCTTGAAATAGGTTTCCGTGAAAAACAAACATCTTTTTATTATCAAAAAATGAGCTAATAAGTGGACAGAGGAAAAAAATATGGATATATATATAGAAGAGAAAATGATTATTTTCACTTCACTCCTTCTCTGGGTAAGTTAATCAATACAAGTATTACGTTTGAAATTCTTCATTTTGCTACTACTACCCACACAGTAGTGTTCGACAATCTGAAAGTGAAAAGGCATTGATTTATTCTCAATGCTATCAATCAATAATTTAAATATATGGCTAATGTTGGTCATCATTGGACATACATCAGGTAAATAATCAATCAATTTATTGCAGCATTTATTCATCATAAATGTTTAAATTAGTTGATACGAACTTGATCAGTTGAAAGATTATCATATGAAATATGTATCTTTTATGTAAAATTACATTTTCAAATATCTTCATACCCTTAGTTGATACTAATATTTCTAAACATTCCATTCTAATACATTCTATAGAGCAATATGAACTCGATAGAACCTGAAAAACTAAAAATTTAATTCAGATTGGATTCTCACCTTTTTAGAATTTAAATACCAATGATAGATTCTAAATGATTTGTATCATACAGTATATGATACTGATCAATATAAAAGCTATGCTTTAAGTTAATAAACCATATCATGATAGTTTACAAACTTGCTGTCTATTGCGTGATGTTAAAAACATTTGAATGTAGAAAATATCTTTTTAAACATATAAATCATTATATTAATAAATTCTATTGTATTTTTCTTTTATGTTGTAGCTATTTCTTACAATAAGCCGAAATTTTGTTCAAATGCATCATGGTATCCAAATGCTACGACTTTCGCAAATATGAGTATAATGGGTCCGAGACCTCGCGATATTTTTATCAATACAAACAATACGATCTATGTTACTAGTGAAGCAGCTGATAGAATTATTGTCTGGTCTGAAGGAAATACTATACCAATCAAAAATATTTCTGGTAATATATCAAATCCGTTTAGTCTCTTCGTTACAACAGCAGGTGAAATTTATGTTGATAGTGATAATTCAACTGGTCGAATTGATAAATGGACATTAAATTCAACAATTGGTATTCCAATAATGTATACATGTACAAAATGTTATGATGTTTTTATCGATATGAACAATAATCTTTATTGTTCCATGAGTAGTTCTCAACAAATTGTTACAAAATCATTAGATGTTGTTTCAAATGCATTAACAATTGTTGCAGGTACAGGAACTGCTGGGAATACCTCGTCTATGCTCAATTCTCCTGCTGGAATCTATGTTAATACCAATTTTGATTTATACGTAGCAGATTATCTCAATAATAGAGTACAATCATTTCAGTCTGGACAATTAAATGCAATCACAGTAGCAGGAGCAGAATCATTAAATCCTACAATTACACTCAAACATCCAGTTGGAATTGTTCTCGATGGTGATAATTATCTCTATATCATGGATTCTGGCAATTATCGTATTGTTGGATCAGGCCCAAATGGTTTTCGTTGTTTAGTTGGATGTTCTAATTCAAATGATTCGGCAACAAATCAATTAACTAGTCCGAAAATGCTAAGTTTTGATAGTTACGGTAATATGTACATTACAGATTATAGCAATGATCGAATTCAAAAATTTGCTTTATTAACAAATTTGTGTAGTAAGTCTACTAAAATAAAAATCTTTCATAGGTATAAATGTATAGCTTAATGTGAATATTTGTCTTTATAATATCGAACATATTTTAAAATTGTAAACATATATGAATATTTAACTGATTAGAAAAAGAATTTCATTTAGTAATATATTTTATTTTTAGGTGAAACTATAACATCAACTCTAATGAATAGTAAGAAAATATGCGTTTTCTTTATTTTAATAAAACTTAAAATTTTAGTAAAAACAACATTAAATGCAAGTCAATCCAATATTTTATCAACAATAACTACGCAATCAAGTAATATAATACAGTTACCATCAACTAAAAGTAAATATTGTTGAATTTTTATCTTATTTTCACTTTAATTAAGTATCAAATACTTAGACCATGGAACTTTTTTTATTTGTTTAGATGTTTCATACAATCGACCAAAATTCAATGCATTCCCTTCATGGAATCCAAATGGAATTATTTTTGCCAATAACAGTACAATTGGCGCACTTATTATGGGCATTTTTGTCAATACTGATAACACAATCTATGTTGCTAATCGAGCAAATAATGAAATTCTAATATGGTTCAATAATAGTATCGGTCCGACACAAACCATTCAAGGCACTTTTTCAATACCTAGGTCTATTTTTGTTACGACGAATGGTGATATTTATATTGACAATGGGCAATCGAATGGTCAAGTTGATAAATTGGTATCGAATGCAATTACTAATGTTCCTGTTATGTATGTTAGCGCATCGTGCTATGGTCTTTTCGTTGATATCAATGATACACTCTACTGTTCTATGTATGATCTTCATCAGGTTATCGCACAATCATTACATAGTATGTCAAACAAAACAATAATTGTTGCGGGTACAGGTTGTGTTGGATCCACTTCAAATATGCTTGATGGTCCTTGCGGAATCTATGTTAATACTAATTTTGATTTATATGTGGCAGATTATCACAATAATAGAATACAATTATTTCAATCAGAACAATTAAATGGAATTACAGCAGCAGGAGCAGGATCACTAGATACTACAATTACACTTAATGGACCAACCGGAATTGTTCTCGATGCTGATAGTTATCTCTATATTGTAGAGTTTAGCAATAATCGTATTGTTGGATCAGGCCCAAATGGTTTTCGTTGTTTAGTTGGATGTTTTGAATCATATGGTTCTGCATCCAATCAATTATTATCTCCTTATGCTCTTAGCTTTGATAGTTATGGAAACATGTTTGTCAGTGATTATGGAAATAATAGAATTCAAAAATTTACTTTTTTGAATAATACTCTTGGTATGTAATAAAAAAAGATAAATAAGTTGAAATTAGATTAACAATCTACATTGCAGTCAGAAAACATAATTTAATGAGAAAATATTTTGTATGAAATTTAGTTTTGTTAAACATGAATTTACATTCCTCATTTTCTAATTAGTTAAAAACACATTCTTTTTTATTAAGTACGAATAAGATCATTTTAAAAGTATTGTGCTAATATAAATAATTTTAGGAAGACTCTTCTGAAATATTGTTTGTCTCATATCAATGTAACAAATAAATCTATTTTGTTTTAGATCCTTCGTACAACCAACCGAAGTTTTGTCAGAATGCATCCTGGAATCCAAATGCAAGTACTTTTGCAAATAGCATTACAGTTGGCTCTAATCCATGGGCCATTTTTGTCAATACCAATAACACAATCTATGTTGCTGGTTATTCAAATAGTTCAATACAGATATGGTCTAATAATAGTATCAATCCGACACAAACAATTCAACGAGGTTCTTTATACCCTTTTTCTATTTTTGTTACAATTAATGATGATATTTATGTTGACAACGGGGGACTCAACTATCGAGTAGATAAATGGACATTGAATGGAAACACCAGTGTTCCTGTCATGCATGTTAGCGTATCGTGCTATGGTCTCTTTGTTGATACCACTGATACTCTTTATTGTTCAATGCTTAATCTTCATCAGATTGTCAAAAGATGGTTGAATGATAATTCTAGCACACCAACAATTACGGCTGGTACAGGTACTGCTGGAAATACTTCGTCTATGCTTGATGGTCCTGCTGGAATCTATGTTAATACCAATTTTGATTTATATGTAGCAGATTATAACAATAATAGAATACAATTATTTCAGTCTGGAGAAATAAATGGAATCACAGTAGCAGGAGCAGAATCATTAAATACTACAATTACACTCAATGGACCCATTGGAATTGTTCTTGATGCTGATAATTATCTTTTTATTGTGGAATATCTCAATAATCGCATTGTTGGATCAGGCCCAAATGGTTTTCGTTGTTTAGTTGGATGTTCTGGTTCAAGCAGTTCAGCACCCAATCAGTTATTATATCCTGCTACTCTTAGCTTTGATAGTTATGGAAACATGTTCGTCACAGATTATGGAAATCGTAGAATTCAAAAATTTATATTATCAACAAATTCCTGTGGTAAGTATATGAGTATTTCATTTACTTTTCGAACACTTTATACAGGTCGATTGAGTTCATAATGCTATTTGTGGTTCTGCGAGTATGTTAGGATTTGTTCTTTTTCGATCAATCTCTTTTTTAAGTGGTTCATCCTCTTACAATATACGAAATCTATAAAAATTCCAAGAAATATATTCTCGTAGTTCAAAGTAGAGTTTTTCCGCAAATATTACACTTAAAAATGAAAAAGATCATTTAGTCATTAGACCACAAATAAAATAGTCTACAAGTGAACTAGTTTTCTGATTTCCTAAATATCTCTATACTTACAGGCTTGGAATATGAAAAGCTTTCTAAAAACTACAAGTATCTGATTATAAACCGATGTAACAATAGTGAAAATATTTATAGTTAATAATTAACAATTTGTTATATATTTTACTAAAGATGAAACAACATCAACAGTTAATCCAACTACAACACAAAATCAAAAAGGTTTGTTAATGAAAATAATTTTCAATAATACAAATAAATATTTATAGAACATATAACTTCTACAGAATACATGACAACTTCAAATATATTGACAACTAATCAAAGTAAGAATTTTTAAAATAAATAAAATCAATTCTAATATTAATGATTTAAGCATGTTTCATTCCAAAAATAACACTTATACCTGGTATATCAACATTATCATCACCAATTCAATTTCGACGAAGTCAAGATTTTTATATAATATCATTAATTGAATTAAATTGTTCTAATTCATTATCTATGATTACTCAATGGACAATAACAAATTGTACTTCTATTTGTTTACAAAAAATTCAATTAGATCCAACAATAATAACAACATTGAGTGAATTATATATTCCTAGAAATACTCTAGCATATGGTATATATGAATTAAAATTGACAGTGACAATGACTAAAATACCAAGTTTAACTTCATCATCATCTGTTTATATTCAAATAACTTCATCCGGTATAACAGCAAATTTAATTGAATATGGAACATCAATGATTACACGTGGAAAACAACAAAATCTTGAATTTGATCCAGGAAGCTATTCTATTGATTATGATAACAATGTTTTTAATGCTAGTGTAAGTTTAAATTAAGATCCTTATCTATTATTCTTGTCTTATTGAATAGAACTGGATATATAAATATTATTGTCGAATATATGGTTTATACATGTTTCCAAATTTACAAGGTTCATTATTATCAATTGATGATATTAGAAATGATCCATTGAATCCATCATGTTTATTAAATCGAACAGGATGGCAATTTAGTAATTCAATTGAATCAGGATTAACCATTCTTTCTGATTCTCTTCAATCCAATGAAACATATCAATTTATGGTTTACATGACAAATCGTCGAAATTCTTCACTTCAAGCAACTGGTTATGTACTTGTTAAAGTTGAGGATACTTATCCACAAATGATTCTAATTAGGTTAATTTTCTCTTTTTTTGTTCCTAAATAAATAAATAACTATTGAATTTAGTTGTATTATTTCAACATTATGTGTGCCAAACTTAGAATTTCAATTTGTCAATCCAACAACCCAAGTTGCTTTGTTTTCAGTTTGTAATGAAAATTGTACAACAATTCAAAATATAACATGGAATGTTTATCATGGTGAAATAAATTCATCTTCAAATTTTACAAAATGGATATTATTTAATCAAACAAATTTTTATCAAAATATTTGGTTTTTTGGTAAAATTATTATTTTTTTCTTCGTAGACTTAAGAAAGATTTGCTTAATTTTATCTAGGTACAAATACAAGTAATTTTACAGCAACAAATCAATTGTTTCTATCAAATCCACAATTACATCTTTGGCGTTTTGAAGTTACTTATACATTTATATCTGAAATAAGTGTAAGTTCATTAAATTTTATTATCAATCAACCACCATATAATGGTTCATGTTCGATCACTCCTCTTAATGGTACAACTACTAGTTTATTCGATATTTCATGTCCAGATTGGTTTGATGAAGATGGAATCAGAGATTATGCTGTTTATGGTATATTCATATTTTTCTTTTAATTAAAAAAAATATTATTTTAATTATTTTCATAGCTTGCACGAATGATTTAACAGAACAAATAATCGTTGCTTATTCTGCAGTACCAACATTTCAAGTTCGATTACCATCTGGAGATAATCAAACATCCTTACTTCATTTAATTGTCTATATTCGAGATACATTAAATTGTATTGCAGAATTTAATCTATCATCTGTTATTGTTATACCAGATTTAGTAGGAATTACTAATTTAATAAATAATATTCAAAATTTATCAAGTGGAATAACAACAAATCCAATAGTTCAATTACTTGCCAGTGAAAATCAAAATGTCGTTGCACAATTAATTATTTCACTTTCACAAGAATTGAATAAAATGAATAATGATAATATTGATAAAGCTATTTCAAGTATATTCGAATATCATATAATTATTAAAATTGATCTTTATTCTTTTGTTTTTTCTCTATAGATGGTATACCAGTTACAAGTATTTCTATTTCACCATTCGGGTATCAAATTCCACAAGGGGTAGATTTATTCAATATTTATTTTTTCTATTTCATTATATTTAAAAATAGTTATCAACAGCAATAAATAAATCAGCATTGATTGAATACAATATAGAACTAAATAAGCAAGCAAATGTTCGAGATTATCTAATAACATTTATAACAAATCTTGCCATAACAACATTGGATAGTATCAAATTACAAGCATCATCATTAGCACAGTTTACTAAAGCAACAAATCAATTAACAAGAACAACTTTAGTTAGATTTTGACTTTTATTTTCGAATACAAAAATTTCATTTTATAGACATTGGCAGCAGATAGATGTTATCAATTAACGATTGCTCTGTATTTAAAAAGAACAAGAATCCCGTATGAAGATGTTCAAACAGCAGCAACTCAACTTATTCAATGTGCTGCTAATCTACTCAGTGTAAGGAGATATTTCATGTATTCACAAATAGAACTAACTCTTTCATTGTTGAATTATTTAGGCTGTGAATGGACCATTACAACAACGAACAACGATATTGAATTTAGATTCATTACGTGCTACAACATTTCCATCTGATTATGATACTGATCTTGAATCTGAATGGTCTAATTTAAGTAAGATTTTAAAGAAAATTACATAATAATTTTTTTCTATAAAATAATTTTTAGATTTATTTGCTAATGGTAATGATTTTTCATGGGAAACAATAGAAAAAGGTCGAAATATATATTATCAAAGCCAATTAGCAAATCAAATTGCTATTCAAATGAATAAAATCGTGTCATTATTAACTTCAACATTAAATATTCATTTAAATATCGAACAAAGCATATTAATCAATACATCTCAAGTATTAATGTCATTAAAAACGAAAACAGTTGAAATATTTTCAAATAAATATATTCAACAAATTGAAAATGCTCAAATTCAATTTCCGGAAAATTTATATTTAAATTTAAATAAAAATTCAAAAATTTCAATTCGAGTAAAATTTTCTATTTTAGTTTTCAAATAATCTTATTTTTTTTTCTAGTCAATTATAGAACCATTAGCTCCATTTGGTATAGCAAATACAAATCTTTCCAGATTAGTAACATTTTCAGTTATTGAAGAAAATGAAATTTCTATTCAAACAAATGTTAATCATCCCATCGAAATAATTATTCCTCGAGATCCAAATCTAATAATTCCATCAATGATTTTACAAAATGTTACATCAATGAATTTTACTCCTTATAATCAATTATTTCATTTCCATTATTTAGATATTACAAGTTCTCTTTCGATTTCAATTCATTTTGAAATTCAACCGTTAAATATAAGTCTTGCCTATTTATTTATTTATAAATTTGATCAATTACCTCAATTAAATACTTCAATGAATACTATTGATGGATGGACTCTGTTTTGTCCTTTGAATTTAACAAATGAAACTTTGTATAAATATTTTATTAATAATCAACAAACATTAGATCATCAATCAATTATATTTGGTTTACGAGAATTAAATTCAACAGAAATGATGGATTCATGTTCGAATACTTCAACCAATAGTCCACCAATAACAAATCAACGATTTAATTTTACATCAAATTATCAATTAAGAATTTATACATCAGGTTGCTATTATCTTGATAAAACTAATCAATGGAAATCAGATGGATTAATAGTTGGTCCTTTGACAAATCATTATGAAACTCAATGTTTTTCAAGTCATTTAACAAGTTTTGCTGGTGGTTTTATTATATTACCTGAATCAATTAATTGGAATTATATATTTACTAATGCTGATTTTATGAAAAATAAAACAATTTATTTAACAGTTATTTGTGTATCTGTCATTTATATTATTTTAATCATCTATGCACATTTTAAAGATAAAAAAGATTTGGAAAAATTAGGAGTTACACCATTACCTGATAATCATCAATCAGATGAATATTTTTATCAAATTATTATTTTTACGGGTCAACGAAAAGGTGCTGGAACAGATTCAAATGTAAGATAAAGAAAAAAAACAGAATAGGTTTTCAAAATTTATTTCATATATAGGTTCATTTTGTTTTATATGGTGATGATGATGAAACACATACACGTACATTAGCAGATCCTCATCGGAAAATTTTACAACGTGGTGGAATTGATTCATTTATAATGGCAGTTCCGAAGTAAAACTTTTATTTAATGAATAGAAGCAATATTAAATTTTCTATTTAGATCCTTAGGATTATTAAATTATATTCGTATTTGGCATGATAATACAGGTAAAGGTTCATCATCATCATGGTTTTTAAAATATATAATCATTCGTAATTTACAAACAATGGAAAAATTCCATTTTATTTCTCAACGTTGGTTTGCAGTTGAAAAAGATGATGGAAAAGTAATGGCTTATTTATTTTTTTTCGAATATTTTTTATTTTTTTGAATAGATCGAACGTATTTTATCAGTTGCAAATGAAATCGAAAAACAAAATTTTTCTTATCTATTAACAAAACGTACATATCATAGTATATCCGATGGTCATTTATGGTTTTCAATATTTTCTCGTCCACCATCAAATAAATTTACACGTATTCAACGATGTACATGTTGTTTTGTTTTATTTTTTATTTCAATGTTTTTAAATATAATGTATTATGATTTATCAAATGAAGCGAAAACAAGTACAGATAGTTTATCTTTTGGTTCATTCTATATTACTCGTCAACAGGTATAAGAATTTAATTTTTTTCTTCTATTTTAAATATATATAAATTATAGATAAGTATTGGTATAATTGTTGAATTATTTGCATTGATTCCAAGTCTTTTAATTGTACAATTATTTCGACGTCTTCAATCTCGTAAAAAACAGATTTCACCATTACATCAAACATTGTATAAAATCAAACCAGAATTAAATATCAATGAGAAAGAAATTAAAAAGAAATTTTTATTTCCTTGGTGGTGTATATTTATTGCATATGGACTTAGTATAATATTAGTGGGTCTTTCAATTATTTTTATAATTGCTCGTGGAATTGAATTCGGTGATGATAAAACTCAAAAATGGTTAATATCAATTCTAAGTGGATTTTTCTCTTCAATCATTTTTACACAACCATTAAAGATAATAAGTTTAGCAATATTCTTTGCTTGTTTTTGTCAAAAAGATTCATATGATGATAAAGAAGCAAATGAATATTTAGATAATAATCAACTTAATTTAGATAATGATGAAGAATATCTTCATTCGATTCAGGTTAGTTTATTCTTATTTGTATTAAATAAATGATTATGATTTTAGAAGAAATCTCTTTTTACTTATCGACAACCCATTCGTGTCAATCGTTTAAATGAAGATGAAATAAATTCTGCTCGCCAACAACGTTTAAAAGAAATTCATATGTGGTCAATTATTCGAGAAATATTAATTTATATTTGTTTTTTAACAGTTCTCTATAATATAATTTATTCAAATCGTAATTCAAATTCATTTCTTCAAGTAAATCATTCACGAAAATTTTTCTTAAATTCAAGACAAATCAATTGTGATTATACAAAAGTTCGTTTTTTTTTGTTTGTATTCGATAATTTTCATTTTATTTTAATAAATAGATTTCAAAAATCGATGCATATTGGAATTGGTTAGAAAATCATTTCATTGAAAATATTCGTGCTCAACAATGGTATAATAGTGAACCACCTAAGAATTTAAGTGGTTTTATTAATGATAAATCGAATCGATTAGTTGGTTGGGCAACGATGAGACAATTACGTATTAAATCAACATTATGTCAAGTTCAAAATGAAATTACATCAACATGTCAATATGATTATAGTTTTCATAATGAAGATAAATATTCGTATAAACCAGGATGGAAAAATAGTATAATACAAAATTATAGTTCATCAATTACTCAGTCATTTCAATATTCAACAAGTAAAGATTTAGATACATATATTTATGTTGGAGAACATGGACGTTATAGTGGAAATGGTTATGTATATGAATTTCGTGGTCGTTTAGTTGATCTTCAAAGTAATTTATCTTTACTTCATCAATTAGAATGGATTAATAATCAAACACGAGCTATTATTATTCAATTAACTTTATATAATCCAAATGTTCAATTATTTACTTCAGTTACTTTTCTTGCAGAATTTTTATCAACAACTGGAATATTTACAACTGCTCGTTTTGAACCATTGAGTTTTTATAGTATGTTTTCTCCATTGATTTAATAAATTTGAAAAATATATTTTTAGCATTTACATCAATAATTCAATTAATTTGTATAAGTATATATATGATGATTATTCTATATTTTATGTGGATAGAAATTCGATCAGTATTGAAATTAAAATGGAAATATTTTCAACAATTTTGGTCTTATATTGAAGTTGGTATAATTTGCTGTTCATGGATAATTATTGGTATTTATATTTGGCGATATAATGAATGTAAACGTATTGGACAATTATTCAATGAAACAAATGGATATGTTTATATTAATTTACAATTAACATCTTATATTAATGATATTTTAATATTTTTATTAAGTTTCTGTTGTTTTTTTGGTACAATTAAATTATTAAAATTATGTCGTTTTAATCAACGTCTTTGTTTGTTTATTCAAACACTTCAATATGCTGGAAAAGAATTACTTTCATTTTCAATGATGTTTTCAATTGTATTTATATCATTTCTTTGTCTGTTTTATTTATTATTTATTTCTGAACTTGATTCATGTTCAAGTTTATTTAAAACAGCACGAATGTTATTTGAAATGACATTAATGCAATTTGATGCACATCAATTCAATCAAGCTTCAACATTTTTAGGACCATTCTGTTTTAGTATATTTATTATTTTAGTTGTTTTCATTTGTATGAGTATGTTTATTGCAATTATAAATGATAATTTTCGTCGTGCAAAAGAAAATGTTCGTCATAATAATAATGAAGATGTAATTTCATTTATGATTAAAAAATTTCAATATTGGACAGGTATGAAAAAAGTGACTGAAGAAGAAATTTTAGAAGAAAGAAATATTCAAATGCGTTCAGAATATTATGATCCAATTGAAAGTTTTCCTGACAAAATTGATCAATTACTAAATGCACTTAATCAAGTATGTTTTCTTCATTTTTATACTATATATGTTTAATATTATTGATTTATTTGTAGATTTATATAACTCAAACAATGGAAAAGCCAAGAAGAATAAAAGAAACTACATTTTAATATACATAAATGTTGTATTTGTTTTTCAATGTATTTATATAATATTGTTGTGTTGTCTTATTATTAATAAACTATAAGTTTTACAATGTACACAGAATCCCCTTCAACAAGATACCCAGTATATATTCTGTTCATATAACGAAGCAATTCTTTATTGTTTTTGCATTATTGATTAGGATGAGAACATTGCATTCGAGAGTATGAGAAAACTGAAACTTTCTTTATGTGTATATTGACTAATGTAATACTGTGCGTTTGTGTACTATTGAAACTATCAGTTATTGTATAGGACAAATTACAGAATGCATAACTACAAATAGTATTAGTGTATACTCTCAATGTTGTCTTAAGTTACGCAAAATAAGATGCCTCTGTTCTTTCGTTCTATAGATACTTACTTGAGAAAATTATAAACTAGACAATGCAAACGTAGATTGAACATCTATTTTATACTTTTATAATATCATATATTCGTATCTTTCTTGCAACAAACTTATAAAAAATATTTACTTTAATTGTTCATAGAACAAAAAAACTTCTCTTTTCGTTCAATATCTAGCAATCGCTACAGCTAGTTTACATAAATGATAACAAATCATATCATAAATTTAATATGGATGAGTTTATCAATGGTATGAACTATTCATTGATATTGGAACAGAAAGAATAATTCATTCTATTGATAAAATAAACTTTTTCTCTTCGTCTAGTCTTCTGTGTTTCTGTTGAGTATCTTTTTTTCTTGTCTAATACAACGAAACTCTACATTGTTTAGACATAATAATGCAACCGTGAAGGTCTTTTCTACAACATATATCTTTCCAATATGTATTGTTTACCTTACTGATGAGTATTACTGCTCATATTATGTTCTCAATAAGAGCAGAGTTTCAATAGAGACACATTTTCATTTTCATCAGTTTTATTTTATTTCAAAAAAAATTGAGAAAGAAATTATAATTGCTTTTTCATGCGTTCGAGGTCTTCTCTCCGTTGTTGAAGTGTTGGATGATTTGCTGGTAATGATTGTTGTCCATTTTGTACAGCACGTTCATAAAATGAATGAGCTTTTGAATAGTTGCCCATCTTCTCACACACCAAGCCGATGTTGTTATAGGAAGCACCCAGATTAGGGTGATTGGAAGGAAGTGATTGTTCTTGAATTGCAAGGTCTTTCTCATAATA